TAATTTAACGTTTTGCCCAGAGTTCTTTAAAGAATAGTAGAGCCATCTTGAATGGGTCAAATATAATAAAAGAAGACTGTATAGTTAATAAACAACAGGCTCAAATCACTGGGATCAAAAATGTGTGTGCTTGCAAAACAGAAACAAAATCTACACTTCCATAAATCCACAAAGATGGTTGCCAAACACCAGGACGGCCAATGATATATCTGTCAGAGCCTTCTTGCGACAGCCTATGGCAATGTTCATTGAAACAGAGTTCAGGCAAGCAAAAGTCCTTTACACAATCCCCTAGACCAGTGGTGGCAAACCTTGGCACTCCAGCTCTGCCAAAACTACAAATCCCAACATGCATCTGCCTCTGGGAGTTATGTCTGTGGTTGTCAGAGCCATGCAATGCCTCATGGGACTTGTAGTTCCAAAACATCTGGAGTGCCAAGGTTCGCCACCACTGCCCTAGACATTAGCAAACGTTTAACCCCTGAAGTGGGGGTAGCCCCACTGCAAAGGGGTTTCTTTCCCTGGAGGTGGGTGTTAACATGATTTGTGAGTTGGGAACTATTCCAATGCAAACTATAAAGGAAGTTAAAAGTGGGAGTTAGAAATGCCTCCACATGGAGGCATCCATCCCTTTAGATTTCCTTCAAATTGAGGTACCACAATGTCTTCAAAAGGTTACCACCTCATTTGAAAACCTTCTTGCTTCCAACTGGCTATGGAACCCCAACACTTCACTGTATTGCCCTTATTCACACATTGCCACCTCGTGTGGCATTTGGCCCACATCCCACGGACCCATTGAAATAGGGACATGCACCAAATTCCTGACACAAACAAAAGCATAAAATATAAATTACACATGTTTACACCACCTGCACGGGCCAATATTTTACGATACATGGATTTCTTTATCTCAAATGATCAGAGTCTACATATTCTTACAGGGCTATTCACAAAAGGGTGAAGAGTTTGGAGAAGTGAACAATCTAGGACATAGCTGAATTGGAGAATTTTCCAAACCAGCCATTTATGCCCCATTCACACTGAGCGATTTATCGAGCGATTTTTGCAGCGATATCGCTCATATTTCCACGCGATATCGCTCTATGTAGCTTCTCCAATCCATTTCAATGGAGCTGTTCACATCTCGTCGCTCAATATTGTTTGTAGCTCGTCGCTGGTAGCTTGTCGCTCCTACATGACCCTTTTTTCAAGCGATTTCGAGCGATATTGCTCCTGATTGCATACAGCCCAATAGGAAAAAGTCGCGCGATGTCGCTCAAAATCACGCGATTTTCATGTTGCTTAGTGTGAATGGGGCCCAAGTCTTACCTTGTTCACCCTTTTGTTAAAGGAGAACTATGGGGGTCAGTGTTTTTCCCCATAGTTCTCCTTAGGGTAACGGGAGGACACAAACTAGCATTCTCCCGTTACCCTAAGCTCAGTAAGCTCATTTTCTCTCCTGGCTGTCTCTCTTCGCTCTCTTGGTTGTCTCTCCTCTTTCTCTTTCCTGTCTGTCTCTCCCTCCTGGCTCACCTTGCTGTATTTTGCAAACAGTGTAGTGCAACAGGCTGTGTAAACTAATATTCTTTGATGTAACACATAGCACTTCAACCACCAGAAAGGTGTCGGGGAGCTTGGCTCAGCAGACTCAGGCTAATAGGTAATCATGTGTGCACAGCTAAATAAATATACCAAAATGAAATAAAGGGGCCACCATTCACACCCTTCCTGATCTACCAGCACCAGCTTTGAGAGCTACTGGTAGATCACCATCTACCTAATGGGCACCCCTGCTCTAATGGTTTTACTACATACAAGCACTTGCATCCATAATGAAAAGAAGGTTCTATTAGATTGTGTCCACCAACTAATCTAATAGAACCTTCTTTTCATGCGATGCTCCTGAAACAAGGGAAATAAACTTACGCCCTTTCTTTTAAAAAAAAATCACTGCCGGGTTCAATAGAGGATCACTCGGTTAATAGATTTATTTGTGTTGACATTGTGTCACGTTATCCTGGGAAAGGCTTCCCAACTGCAATATACACCTGATGTTTATGTATTTATGATATGTTTTGAGAATTCACATGTTTGAAAGGAGCATTTGGATGTAACTCTTGATCACATTTATTTTTGTAGTCACATTCACTAAGGATAACAAAGAGTTATGGATGCAAGTGCTTGTATGTAGTTAAACCACTAGATGGATGTTCAAGTGGAATCAAGCATTTTAGCACATAATGTTTTTTTTACGGACCGCTACACGAGGTACGATGCTGACACTCACTTTTTATTTGTAGAGTTTGTTAGTTGGTTTACAAAACTGAGCACAACATAATTAGTACTATATTATACACGTGTTTAATAAAGGATCACGACACAATAGTTTTTTGCTTTTTTAATCCATTTATATAGCGTCATAGATCATTTGGAATTAAAGCTTAGTTGTTGATGCAACATTAATCCCTTGTGAGATTGCTACACAGGACCTAGCGCAACATAACAGCAACATTTCATTCACTACCACACATCATTGAAGCTGGTTCACTTTCACTGAGTGATTACTCCTAGCGCAGCGGCTTGTTTTTCATTAAAAAGGGAGAACTATGGGGTTAAGACTTTTCGCCATAGTTCTCCTTAGGGTAACGGGATGACACAAACTAGCGTCCTCCCGTCACCCTAGGCTCAGTATACCGCGAGCTGTAGCTCGCGGTATACTGAGACGCCGCAGGTGAAGCGGATCCTGACAATTGTGCCGGGATCCGCCCAGCTGCGTGACTGACAGCTGGCTCTGCCTATCTAGAAGCAGAGCCAGCTGTACCCGCCCCCTCCGCCTTCCGTCAGTCAGGGCTGGCAGACCGGAGCGGGGGGAATCCAGCCCCTCCTGTCACGGCAGAAAGCCGTGACAGGATTGAGAAGTGAGCTAACGCCCATATGTGTTCGCTCACCTCCCGATCTACTGAGCCGACCTGTGACAGTCTCATTGTCACAGGTCGGTACAACTATGAGGTGAGTGAAAAGCACTCACCTCATAGTTCTCCTTTAAGATGGTAGGGAGAGCCCTGCCCGAGGGCTTATGCCATCTGCAGTAATGAGTTACTGTAAGAGGTTGAAGTTTGTATGACACGTTGGTCTACAGTGACCTACCAGCCCCAACCCCCATGACTAAATGGTTTCCTCACCTAGGCCAGGCTGCCATCCTTGTCTTAATTGCTAAACATGTAAGCAACCTTCTGACTGGGGCTTAATTACTACAGCGTAGAAAATAAGCCAGTGGCAGAAGGTGAGTAGCAACTCATTATGACTTGTTGGCAGAAGGGCTCATCAGGACCCTACATGCTAGTAGGACATGGGGCATAGAAAATGGGGAAGGGGTGGAATAAGGGGTATGGGTCTAGCCCCAACCACCACCCTTACCCTTTTCATGGTAACCTAATCCGACTGGTTTAGAAAGCACTTTTGCTCATTGTATTTGTGTATAGTTTCCGGTGTTCCTTTTTCCCCAGGTTATATATCTGACTGTTTTCATACTGCCTAATTTTGCTGCTTTGTCAGTAACCACACTTACCATGCCAACATTGGATTGTAATGTTACCAGGTTAGTTGTTATGTATATTGTGCATGCGTTGGCCACCCTGTCATTTCCAGGCAGCTACAATCACCATGGTTATGTAGCTTTCCCTAATGGCCAGCCCCCCACATGAGACGGGTGGCATTTCATAGCTCTCTGTTCTTTCTGGCATGGTATACATGCCAAGAGACGCAAGTAGATTAGCAAGTATTAATATAGAAGATTACCTTTCAATGGCTGAATATATTTTGAAGAGAACTTTGCCACAACACATTTATTGCTTTGAGACTAAATAGAAAACTTCATGACTTCCAGTCTTAGGTTTGTGTACAGATAAAACCTTCCTCCCCTCAGGAATTATTCCAAAAGCTGTTTAATGCATTTTACTTTATGACCATGGCATATACATGCAAATACAGGAGACTGGGCCATGGAACTAACCACATAACAGAATGTATAACAGCTTTTTTCCTTTTCATGTTTGCCATTGTGCCAATAGACTACCTGTAATATAAAAACTCTTTACTGTAATGAACATTCTTACTCAGACATAACAGATAATTCTAAATTGTTGAGACAAGAAAACTGGAGCCTGAATCTATAGAAAATGGTGACCATATGACCCAAACTGACAACTGTATGGAACTATTGTGCGTTCAATTTAAAGCAACCCTGTTATACACTAGTTTGCAAATCAAGGCAAACAAACAAAAGGGAGATCTGCACTCCCAAAGGGTCAGATTTTCCTGTGGGTATCACATGAAGATTTAAAAGGAGAACTATGAGATGAGTGCTTTTGACTCACCTCATAGTTCTAGCCGACCTGTGACAATGAGACTGTCACAGGTCGGCTCAGTAGATCGGGAGGTGAGCGAACACATACCGGCGTTCGCTCACCTCTCGATCCTGTCACGGCTCTCTGCCGTGACAGGGGGAGGGGCTGGATTCCCCTCTCCGATCTGCCAGCGCTGACTGGTGGAACAGACGGGGGAGGGGGCGGGTACAGCTGGCTCTGCTTCTAGAAAGATTTTCTCTGATTTTCTGAAAAAAAAGCCCCTTTTCTTTTCTCCCTTTGGGCATTTGCACAACCCACTGTGGAAATACCTCCTTTCTCTGCTTCTAGATAGGCAGAGCCAGCTGTCACTCGCGCAGCTGGGCGGATCGCGTCGTCTAAGTCGGGATCCGCTCCGGCGTCTCAGTATACGGCGCGCTGTAGCTCGCCGTATACTGAGCTTAGGGTAACGGGAGGATGCTAGTTTGTGTCCTCCCGTTACCCTAAGAACTATGGGGAAAAACACTGACCCCCATAGTTCTCCTTTAAGGATCAGAGAAGCATTGCGAGCAGTAAATAAAAGTATTTAGTCTTTTTACAGTTAGGATTTGATTCGAAAACTTTTAGGAAAACATCAGAACAGGACAAGACAAGGCAGAGATGGAAAAAACCTTTTATTTACAGCTTTAAAAGGTTACTTCAGAGGAATGAAACGAGAGGAGTGAGTGGCACCAATACCAGGTCTGCCGTGTTTCACAGGCTTGTATGTGATGGAGAATTCACCCAAGTAATGACCAATCATCTCAGGCTGCAAAAAGAAAAAAAAAATGTTAAACGTGTTGAGGGAAATTGCCATCTCTACATTGATCACTTTTAATATCACAAATGCACTGGACAAATTGAGTACATTAACCAACGACTGTTTCATAATGTCACACTAAAAAGAACCCTCAACTGAGTCAGTGGCACTAAAACACACCTAAGCAAATGGTCCTCCTGGGCCACACTGTCCAAATACACAGCCATATGCAGTTCTGAGGATAGATAGATATACAGATATATAAATATATAACCTCTAGCAAGAAAATGCAACAGGTTTGACCAGGAATCATTTGACCCAATTTCCTACGTACAGGTACAAAGTCAAAAAGGATGCCCATTGACACTTGGCTCCATTTAACATTATTTTATGTTCCCCTGGCTGAAATGTTTTGGAAAAAATAGGACTGAAAATCATGGCAAACAACCTGTATTGTGAGTTAAGCTATTTCCTCTGCAGCAAAGATGGAAGCAAACCCCAGACGAATGCAGGCTGCAAGGTTTCAAACAAACATTTGGGAAAGGCTGCATGGTTTAAATCAGCCTCTAGGGAGAAGAGCACTTAACGTGAACCTGTCTTTACCATGTCTAAGCCCTCGTTCACACCTGAACGTTTTGTAGCGCGTTCTACTCTCGACGAACGCTCTACAAAACGCTCAAACATCTAAATCCCATTGTATTCAATGGGTCTGGTTCAGACCTTGGCGTATTTCAGCCCGTCCCTAACGCACTACAAAACGGCCCACGCCTGAAAAGGTACATGTACTACTTTGGGCCGTTTCCATTGGGATACAGCCAAGTAGCCCTCGGAAATGAGCGTTTGTCGCACGATTTTACCGCGAAGCGCGGTAAAAAAACGCGCGACAGACGCGCATATGCAATACGCCTAGGTGTGAACCAGGGCTAAGGTATTAGCGTTTTAAACTGATCCTCATAATTCCTAGGTACATGGAGCCTCAACTTCTGCCCAAGAAATTATCAAGCGCCAAAACTTAAACTCTGAAGCTCCGGCATATAAAGGGTATGCAACAGGGGGCAGAGCTTAATCTCTACTTGGGGCCTTACGATGGGCTGCCTCACTAACCAATAAAACTGTGCAGGAGGCAGGAAAGGGTAGACAAAACCTGAGCTGGTGTATCAAAGCTGTGTCAAAAAAGGCCTGACATTTAGGAGACAATATTCGAGAAGAACACTTAACTATGTGGTAACCTTTTTATCCTATAGTTCTTAGGGTCACGGGAGGACATAAACTAACCCCCTACCGTGACCTAAAAGCTCAGGATATAGCAGGCTAGTCACAGCTGGCTCTGCCTATCTGGAGGCAGAGCCAGCTATGTCCGCCCCCTCCCCGTCCATCCCTCCACTCAGCGCTGGAGGATCGGAACGGGGAGGGTGGAATCCCGGTGGGGAGCTGTAACTGACAGTCACCGTTCTCTGCAGGGAGATGATCAAAAAGCGGAGCGAGCGACTATCACTTCCCGCTCACTTCCTGATCTATACGTCAGCTCTAACTATGAGGGCGAGTGTAAATCACTCGCCTCATAGTTCTCCTTTAAATACAAATCCAACAGTAGCCTCATAAAAACCAGGATGAGGTTAAAGTCCAACTACCTACTGCAGTGCGGACCTGTTCTGGTGACACCACCCTCCATACCTCGTATGGTCATCTCAGACACAGTAACATGGGAATATCTCCCCAAGTTACAGAGGAAAAAAAAATGAGGTTATATTGCTTCTGTGAACGACAAATTTTCACAGAACTACTAATTCTAACCCAATGTGAGCTGAAAACACAGCAAAAACAATGCTGCATGTCTACCTTACATCAAACTACAAGGTAAGGTAGATAGAGAGGAAGACATGTTTGAACACCAGCCTGTGTTACAACCATGGCTTCCTCCATAGATACGGTGGAGTGAGCGACCACAGCTATCCTAGGACAGAAATTGTGTCCTAGCAT